ATCGTCTAGGGAGAAAGATGTGATTCATTATAAAATACTTTGTTTTAGAGCAAAATGTCATTAACATATTTTTACTGAATTTTTAAGGCAGCCCATTTATCAAACAGATGTTAAACCATCTCTATTGAGCTACATATGAGCCATATGAGCTACATAATCAGCATTACTTAAATGTTTGATAAAACTGTATTGCTATATTATACAAAAAAGTCATAGGAAGCCAAGAACACAATTGAAAATCCTGCAAATGTATTATGAGTAGTTATGAAATGATAACCATAATAACTTATGTACAAAATGGCTGCCACAAGGAAAAGAACTTATATTCATTTTCCAGAGGGGAAAAAGATAGCCCACTACTTGTTTTCCCACGCATGGTTTTCCCAAGCATGGTCCATGCTTGAAAGAAGATACACATGTACTGGGACATTTTGGCCAAGCTTGGGACATGTGGTTCCTCCAGGCAGAAGTGATTTGGGAGCTGGGCATAGAAGAGTGGGGGAAAGGGCAAAAGCATTATCCGCAGCAAAGGAGGAGGATAAATGCAGGGACAATGCAGAGGCACAATGGGACATGCCAAGGTGGATTCTTTGGCAGTGATAGCAATGGTGATCAAAGGAAGAGGAAATGTGCTGTGAAAACTGGGAGGTTGAGAAATAGCTACCCTGGATGCCACTGAGGGAGCAATAGCAATAAGACTTATATACCGCTTCACAGTGCTTTACAGCCCTCTCTAAGTGGTTTACAGACTGGGTATATTGCCCCCAACAATCTGGGTCCTCATTTTACCAACCTTGGAAGAATGGAAGGCTGAGTCAACCTGAGCTGCTCAGAATCGAACTCCTGGGGTGAGCAGTGAGTTAGCCTGCAGTACTGTATTCTAACCACTGTGCCACCACGGCTCTTATTACATACCAGTCTTGCTCTACTCATTCTATTTGGTTGTTATTTTGTCTAAAATACAGAATAACCAAAGCACTCTGGGGTTTTGTTCTAATGTCCCATTGGTCCTCTGAAGCCTGGTGGTTTGGGAAAAAATGTTTCCTGCACACTTCCCCTCTGCCCATTGCATCT